CGTGTTCGACCAGGAGAAACCATGGGGGTTTCTTACCATGAGTTCGACACCACACGCCGACCACGGGAGCGCATCTGCTTGGAGGGCGAAGCCTTCCGAACCGGGGGAGAATGGTGTAGATTAGTATCTACTACTATTATTATTATTATTATTATTATTATTATTATTATTATTATATTATTATTATTATTATTATTATTATTATTATTATTTAATAGGTGTCTTAGAGAGTAAGTTAGTAATTTAATACCATTGTTTAATATTTAATAACAGTTCTTGTCTTGTTAGACAAGTTAAGGTTTAGGGTTAGGAGCCTTATATAAAGAACTCCCTCTAGTTTATTTTCATTGGTTGATTATGAATGAAATAAGATATTGTTGAGTTTTGTAAGTTTTATCGAGAGAGTATCTCGTTTATCTTTCCCACTCGTACGCTTCCCTACATCAAATTAAGTCAACCTTAAAAGAATGAATAGATTCATCTCTTAATTTGGCGATCTTTGACAAGAGAATTTCCAACGTGAGAGACTCATGTTTTGATGGTGGTATAAAAAGTATTTATGCAGGAAGTATAACCTTCAATGTGTACCCAAGTATTGCATACAATTTAGGACATTGATATTTCAATAACGTTATTACCCTCATCAAGATTTTGAAAGAACGGAGTTTTTTAAAGAAGGGAATAAATCTTACTGAAATATGTACATGATTTCCTACACTCTATCTTTTTTTTTTTTCCAACATCAAACAAGCATTATATAAATACTCAAAGCACAAGGTTCATACAACGATTACCCAAATGGGTATACAACCAAATAGCATGCCACACAAATGGACCTAACTACAAGCTAGGAGAGATCTACATTAGATCCTCTGAACCGGCCTCATAGCCAAAGAAAATGAAAAAGAACCAGCATAATAATCACAAAAGAAGGAGCAGCTGGGTAACTCCGCAGCAGCTTCACCAATGTCATCCACCAGCACCATCACACTCCAATCTGCTTCAACCTGCTTGTTGAGGAGTTGTACAATATGAATGGAGTTCACTCTGCAGATAAGGGAAGTAGATAATCCTGCTTCTTTAAGTTTCCTTAACCCTCATCTGACTGCCCTGAGTGTAGCTTCCTCCTGAGATTGAGCCTTTTCATAACAGTCCTGCCATTTATACTGCACTATTCCTTTAGCTTCCACAACAGCCCCAAACCCAGCACATCCATCTGGAAATAGGCAAGCACTGACAACCATCCTTAACTGTCCTACTCCATTTCCAGTGTTGTTACCTTCACCCACATTCACTTCAGCATTCATTATGGCCCTATCATTAGCACCTGACTTAGTTGCTGCACCTTCATATTCACTCCATTCTCTCCATGCCCCATCCACTATTTCCTTTTCTGAAAATTTATTTTTGTTAAAGAGCCAAGCATTTCTAGCCCTCCACAACAACCATAATAAGTAAGTTGAGAGGTTCATCCTGTCTTGAAAGCATGGATTACTCTTTCCAAAACACAAATCATCCCACCAGTCTTGGAAGGATATTCTCTTTTTATCAAAATGAACCCAATATAACCCAATCAGTTTCCAATAGATGACAACTCTTTGGCAATTAAACATTATATGTTCTAGATCCTCCACCCCTTCCCCACAAACACAACAGATACCATCCACTTGAATCTTTCTATGCAGCAATTGAGCATTTTTACTTAAGAAACCATACCAGCATTTCCAAATGAAATTTCTGATCTTGTTCTTCACTTTGAGTTTCCATGTCTTAGCCCAAATGTTTTTCATTTGCTTGTCATCTGAGCATGAAGTGGTTGTCATCTGTGTGTTGAGGTAATGGTTTAGCAGAATTTTATACACTTCACCAGCAATGAACTGACCCTTTGGGTTCCAATGCCACACCATCTTGTCATGAGCACCTGTATTGCTAATAGGGATATTCAAAATATTAGCAGCCTCCTCAGGAGAGAAGGTTTGATTCACCAACTCCTCATCCCATTCACAATGATTAGCCTTAAACAGATCATTAACTTTTTTAATTCTCAATCTATCCCTAGAAAACTGAAGAGTAGGAGCAAACTTATTAGAACAAGGAACCCAAGGAGAATACCAAACATCAATGGATTGCCCATTCCCAACCTGAAACCTCACACCTAGCTTTAGAGAAGTTCTAGCTTGAAGCCAGCTTTTTCAAAGCCAGGAATCACTCCCCCTAGCCTTCACCTCAAAAATCTTCTGTTTTAAAAAATATTTACCCTTTAACACCCTACTAACCAACAAATTAGGTTTAGTAATGATCCTCCATAACTGTTTAGTTAGAAGAGTCTCATTAAAAACCTGAAAGTTTTTAAATCCCATTCCCCCTTTCTCCTTAGGCTTAGCTAACAAATCCCACCCACACCAATGAATTTTATTGCTGCCAGACTCAGAGGAACCCCACCAAAAATTAGCAATCTCCCTACACATATTAGAATACACAGACACTGAAAGTTTGAAACAAGACATAACATATGTAGGGAGAGATTCAATAACAGACTTAATAAGAGTTTCCCTCCCAGCCTCACTCAAAAAACAATTTTTCCACCCTTTCACTCTTTGCATAACATAATCAGTGACAAATTGAAAAGTTTCCTTCTTGGACTTACCAATACCTAAGGGAAGACCCAGGTATTTGGAGGTTTTCACTTTAGTAATCCCATTCAAAGCAGAGCAGATATCGTTTTGCAACCCTTCAGAGGCATTTTTGGAAAAGAAAATGGAAGATTTGTCCATATTAACAGACTGACCAGAAGAATCTCCATAATCTTTAAGAATTTGAAGAACAACTGAAGCATGATGCAAATCAGCTTTGCAAAAAACAATAGAGTCATCTGCAAAGAACAAGTGGGACACTGCAGGAGCATATCTAGCAATCTTAACACCAGCAAACAATTTGGCATTACAAGCTTGTTTTATCAAATTTGAAAAAGCTTCAGATACAAGCACAAAAAGGTAAGGGGACAGTGTGTCCCCTTGTCTCAAACCTCTAGTAGGAACAACAAAACCTAGCATGGACCCTTGAACATTAAAAGAAAAAGAAGAAGAACAAACACAGGCAAGGATCCAAGATGAAAATAAATCACAGAAACCCATTTTTTTCAACATTTTAGCCAAGAAGTTCCACTCAACTTTGTCATAGGCTTTTGCCATATCAAGGTTAATAGTAATAAATGCATCTTTGCCAGATCTTTTGCTATTTAGAAAATGTATACACTCATTAACAATCACTACATTATCAATAATTTGTCTACCAGGGATAAAAGCAGACTGTGTATGAGAAATACAGCAATGCAACAAAGATTTAAGTCTCTTAGCAAGGATCTTAGCAATTATTCTATAGAACAGTGCAAAGGCTTATGGGTCTGTGATCAGAAACAAACTGAGGGTTTTTCTTTTTAGGGATAAGAGTTATCACAGTGTGGTTCAGATTTTTAGGCATCTTACCCCTTTGAAAAAAATTAATGACCGCAGAGCAAAGTTCAGTTTTAATAGCAGGCTAAGAGGTTTGGTAAAATGCAGGAGACGTTCCATCATAACCAGGAGCTTTATTTTGATCCATATCCCACAAGGCAGTCTTAATCTCACTCTCAGACACCTCCCTAGTTAGAGACTTGTTCATCTCTTCAGTAATAGACAAAGGAATACCATCTAAATTGCACTGATCAACTAAAGGATTAGAAGTTCTAAACAAGCAGTCAAAATATCTGGCAAGCTCATCCACAGTATTCTGGGAATTAGAACATTTTCTACCATCAAGCCTAACTAGATTCTTCAAACTATTCACAAATCTTCATTGCTTCACACTAGCTTGAAAAAACCTAGTATTCTTGTCCCCCTCCCTTAACCAATTCACTCTAGCTTTCTGCCTCCAAAAGTCTTCCTCAAGCTTATAAGCCTCATGAAGTTAATCTCTGAAAAAATACCACTCTTCCCAGTCTCTGTCCCCACCTAAGCTCTCTATTTTAACCAACTCCTCTTTACACAAATTAATGACATTCACAGCATTAGAACCCTTGCTTCCTTTCCAATTGAGGAGGGCCTTTTTAACATTTCTGATTCTACCCCCTAAGCTATAAAGATTAGGCCCCTCCACAGGTAATTTCCAAGTTGTCTCAACAATTTCAGAGAACCCCTCAAGATTAGCCCATCTAGAGTCAAAAAAGAATCTTTTTTTAAGGGATTCAGCAGTACAATTAGACTCCAAAACTAGCATATTGTGATCAGAGGATGTCACGGAAATATGGCTTACCTTAAAATTTGGGTTATCCAGTAACCACTTGGGAGACACAAGAAATCTATCAAGTTTGACTTCAATGAAGTCATTACCCTGTCTCAAATTAGACCAGGTATACTGATGCCCAACCACCACAGGTTCTACACCACCAAGACCCCTCACAAAATTTTTGAAAACTCTAAAACTGACTTCCTCCCTAATAATCCCACCCTTCTTTTCATGATTGTTGAGGATGTCATTTAAGTCACCCTCTAAAAACCAAGATTCACCCCAGCTCAAACTATGTCTTAGGAGAGAGCTCCATTAACACTGTCTAATAGCTGGGTTAGAATCAGCATAAATGAACACCCCCCACTGGCTCTTCACTTCTCCTTCCAAAACAAACTTGACCTCAAAACCAAAATCAAAACATAGTAATTCAATAATCTCCACCTTTGGGGACCAGTACAGGAATAAACCTCCACTAGTGCTCTTAGGTTTGGAGTAAAACCACCTATCTTCTAGCTTAAGCTTCCTACAAACAGAAACAACAAATTTTTCTTTCTTTTTTTTTTTTTGTACTTCAGATAAGAAAACAAACTCTGGGGAGTGAATCCTTAGGGACTCTTTGAACTGGGAAATTGTAGAGGGTCCCCCCAAACCTCTACAATTCCACACACATACCTTCATTGGACACTGTGGGACCAGTTAGGGCTGGTTTCCTCCACCACTGAATTAACAAGACTCTAAGAAAGTTTTTGCTTTTTGGCTGCTTTGTCTAAGTTAGGATCCTCTACATTTTTATGACCCTCTCTGATTTGTAAACTCCTTTTGGGAATTACATGCACAGCAGTTGAGGGTGTAGAAGCTTTCCCAACAGAGTCAACAACCATTTTTTCTAAAATAGGTTCACAGACAGCTTTAGTAATTTTTTTACAAGACTTCTTTTTCCTTTGAAAAATATTAGCATCTAATGACCCAGCTTGGATATTGATATCCACTAAATTATCTGAAAGAAGCTTAGCTTCCTCAGGTATGGGTTCCAAAACATGAGGGTTATCAGAAACTTTGGCTTCTGCAGATCCCTCACTACTCTCAACCATAGGACTCCCAACTTTACTAACACTGGGGAAAATTTCATTAACAACTTGAACAATTGCTAATGGATTGACATTAAGACTATCATCATCTCTGTTACCCCTCTGAGAATCAGATTCAAATCTATCAGAGTTTCTATCTGAAGGTCTACTCTTAGTAGAGGGAGAGCTATAAGACTTCACATTTCCCAGGTTTATTGGGCTAGCTCTCAGCCATTCCCCAAATTGACCTAGGGTAACGGTATTTCTCTTGACATCCTCTTTCTTGAAGTCACAGTGTTTATCAGTGTGACCTAATCTACCACAATAAAAACAAAAGCTTTGAAGACTTTCGTACCTGAAATCCACCCATTTTGATTCATTTCCCAACTTGATTTTGTTGCCTCTCAGGATTGGCTCCTTCAGCTTTAACTCCACCAGAACTTTCAGAATATGTCCATAAGGACTATTGGCTCCAGGCACTTGAACATCTAGGGGAGATCCTAGAAGTTTCCCAATCTTAATCCCTGTTTCCGCACTGATCCAGTGTAGAGGCATATGGTGTATTTGAACCCATATTTTGATATGTTCATCTGCCTCTGTAAAGAATGAGTCCTACCGATTCCACTTCTTGAGCAATATATATTTCCCATCAAAACTCCAAGATTTGCCATTGAGAATTCAGTCTCTGTCTTCTTCGTTGTGAAACAGGAACTGGAATCTATTATCACCCAAGCTCTTTATGGAAAAAGGATGTTTCGTGAGCCAGATGGCACCTAATGTCGTCTTCAATCCATGAAAGTTTGCCTTCTTCTCACCATATATTTTCCCCAACAAGCTGAGATTACATTCTTGAAGAGTCGGGGCTACATCGTTATCAGAGATTTCAATCCCTTCCTCTTCTTTTTCTGAGAGCGCAAACTTTCTGAATTCATCAGCAAGATCCTGAGCCATGAAGAACCCCACTCCCCTCCACTACCCTCTAACAAAGCTCAACGCACCAAAAAAGAGAACCCCTAACCCAAACCCTAGCCTTAATCCTAAAACTGCCAAATGGAATCGATCAAATAAAGCCCTAGATACTACAATGAAATGGGACCATAGGCAAAGAGATAGAAGAAAAGGAACAAGATTAAACAGTAATAGATCTGGCAAGATCCACTAATAGCTAAAAAACTACGATCCCAAAGAACCCAAACAAACGCAAGCAGAGCAGATAATACAAGCACAAGAAAAGTCAAGAAAAACCAAGAGAAACCATAACCTAGAAGGTTCGATCGGAAAACCAGGAAAAAAAAGGTAACCAAGAAAGCAAAATCCAACAAAGTGGAACGAGACTCTAGAAAGAGAAAATCTTCCAAGAAGGAAACTCGGTGTCGGATTTCCTACGCTCTATCAAACACTCATAACTTTGAAGTGTTATTGAGAAAAGAATTTATTGAAGTTCCCTAAATCTTTAAGGACTTTGGAAAAACATTATTGCCGCAAATAATTGACAATCCGATAATTAAAGAGATCGACATAACTATTCAAGATAGGCTACTCCTCCACCAAACCAAAAGTCTTATGATTGATCCAAAGATATTTTTTATAAAGATATAAATGATGAGTAGTTATTGCTGGGAAGAATGAAGAGTTAGTATAAACAATAGAACTAGTTAAAAAAATGGATAAGTTAGATGCCCAAAAGGATGACGATCAATATAAATAATATTTGATAGCACATAGAAAGATAATCCATTTCCATGTGATTCCTTATATTACATTCAACAACCTATTGTTGGGCAGTATCAAAGAACTCGGGAGATTGGAGAAATTTAAATGACAACCATTGGAGGAGCATGAATAATCCCAGAACAACTTATTCTAACACTACAAAAAAATTATTCTATTCCAACGAAAAATCCTATGGTAATATATTCCAATGGAAATTCCAACGGATATTCCAATGGCATAGCTTCTGTTGGAATCATTCCAACGGAAATTCCAACGAAAATATTCCGTTGGAATGTGTTTTCCATTAGAATTTTAGATGGAATTTGATGATTCCAACGGATATATTTCCAACGGCTTTTTGCCGTAGGAATTTCTGTTGGAATATGCAATTTCCGTTGGAATTTTTATTTCCACCCCTGTTGGAATCGTCAAAATCCAACGGAAATTCCAATGGAGAACTCATTCCAACGGAATATTTTTGTTGGAATTTCCGTTGGAATCCACTGAAAAAATTCCAACGGAAATAATAGTATTAAAATATCCATTTAAATTGCCGTTGGAATTCTATTGAAATAAATTTCCGTTGGAATTTCACCATTTTCTTGTAGTGTAATATTAAAATTCCTTAAAGATCATAAACCGTAGGAATTGTTACACGATGAATAGAATGATGCTTTGTATACTGAAATCATTGCTTCCTTTGAACTTATTTTTTAGTTTGACAGAAGAATCATGTTTAGTCGATGTGTTTGCATTTAATTTTAAAGTATGGAATTGCAGCTTGTCATGTTATTGAAAGTGAAGATAATATAGTGTCGTCGCACAAAAGTTTATATTATCGGTTTCTTGTACAGTATAAATATGGTTCGTGACTGAGAGATAAATGGACAAACCTATCAGTATAGTATAATTTGGATTATTTTCTTAATTAATAAATTACACCAGTACATTTTGTGTGTATTGAATTGGACCACAGAGGAGAAGTTTATTTTTATTGACCCAATAAATAAACTATACCTCATGAGATCGCATGTGCTTTATACTCGGATGATAATAAAAACACATGTACTCAGTATTTATTCCTTTAATTTATCACATGTTGATAGTTATATATTCATTATGTTAATAGAACCGATGAGTTGGAGAATAACAATGTTTATATGGCGTGTTGTTGGTTATATCCGACTATTGTATCCTAGTGAGAAAGGGTGATGAATTTCTTGCAATGATCTCAAAAGGATTATTATTGTTAAACTATGCAGGTGGATTTTATCCAACATAATAATTAGGTTGAGTTGTACTAATTTCGACAAGACTAAGATGTTAATTAATTAAATTATCAATAATTATATTAATTAACTTACATATGGCTAGTGCATAGCCCGCGCGATGCATGGAAAAATAAATTAAATAATAATTATAAATTAAAGATGCAAGTAAATAGCATTAAATAATAATAATAAATTAAATATTTGGGATAAAAATGTGATATAATTTACGTATATCGGTTTGGTGTTCAATATAAAATTATCATGTACAAAAGAACACAAAACATGTATGTTTAAAGTATTCTACATTATTCATAAAAATTGTTAAGATATTCTACATTATTCTTAAACATGTATGTTTAAAGTATTTTACATTATTCATGAAATAACATATGTAAAGATATCCAAAATATTTTACATTATTCTTAAAAACTGTTAAGTATCCTAAACTTCCACTAAACTATTTTGTAAAGACAAAATGTCTAAAAGCACCTAAAGATATAAACTTTAATGTATAGAATGGGCAAAAAAAAAAAANATTTTTTTTACCAATTTCACGGAAATATATTATACGAATTTGTGTATATCTCGCAAATGCTAATGGATTTAGTAAGAAATACAAAATTTGGAACATTTTGTTAGAAAGATTATTCCTTGCATTGGAATATAATACATAAATCTATATAGAAATTTCGAAAATTTTTATTTTGTTGAAAAATTTTCAAATGATGAAAATTTATAAAATAAAAATATAATTATTAAAATTAATGATATAAAATAATAAAATATTAGTTTAAAATGGTTGAAAATTAAAATATTAGATGTGTAATAATATTCTTTTAATTGTTAGGTTTGTAGTAATATTGGTAACGCAAAACACTCCGACCGGTTTGAAATCGACTCGTCTTCCTCCTCCCCTCGCCTGTAGAACGCCGCGTACCTGCTGTCTTGCTCGATCACTTCCCTTTTGTCCGATTGCTGATCGACCAACACGGTTTTTCCCCACGTCACGATCAACACGGTAAACCGGTTTATTCCTTAGGCCTATAATATCCCATATCAAATATTATTTGATATCCATTCACAATCTTATTGGCAAAAATTTAAATCTTTCTTCATAAATCTAATTAAATAAAAAATTAATAATCATTTATCTTCATTATTCATATAAAAATTAATTAGATAATTGATTTTAATCTTGTTAATCTTGCTTTGTCTTCCGACAAATACTCAAATTATTCCCTAATCTGACGTGTTGCCCTTGTCATATCATACATTATTATAGATTTGTTACTAAGATAATGATGAGTTTTTTTATTCCAATTTTTGAAATTTAAATATAACAAATTCCATGATTTATGGTAGCATTAAATGCGGCTTAATTTTTTTATTAAAAAAATTAAAAAACATTCTAAAAATAGAATGTAATTAATATTCCTAAATTTTTTTCCTTACTATTTTTAGTAAATAGTAATTCTTATTTTATATATATAGATAGATATATAGGGGACGGATCCAATTAGACCACTCCTTAAAATGAGTACGTGAGACTCAATCTTAGCCACTCATTTTGTCTAGATCAAAATCAATTAAAATATACATTAATTAAATAATAAAATAATTATTTGTTCTTCCGGCGAAAATCGTTGACTTCTGGCGTTGACCGTTGACTTCCGGCATTGACTCCGGCATTGACCCGTTGACAAATCACCTAGCAGCAAGAAATAAATAACCTAGCAACAAAAGAACCTAGCAGCAAGAAAGAAATATCCTAGCAATAAAATACAACAAACCTAACAGCATCAGACAACTAACCTAGCAGCAAGAAAGAAATAACCTAGCAACAAAATACTGCCATTAATCAGGACCGAGAACGTGCAATGCTCCACACACGCCTCCACAAAGCTGATCCAACGGTCCGGGAATCCCATCCTAGCCAAAGCCTCCCTAAGAAACGGCCACTCAACCCTATCATACGCCTTAGCCATATCCAGCTTTAGCGCGATATTCGGAGCCCGCTTCCAGTCCGCTCGGGAGATGTCGTGGATCATCTCCTGGGCCAGAAGGATGTTATCACTAATGACCCGATCCTTGACGAATCCACTCTGGTTCG